ATTAGTATAAAGATTTGGAACAGCCACTATGGAAATCAGGGGAGAGACTCCTCAAGAAACTAGGATTAGAAATCCTATTCAGCACAGCTATTCCCCTTCTGGGTATTTTCCCAAAAGAGCTGAAAACATTGTACCACAGTGATATATGTTCACCCATGTTTATAGCAGCACAATTTGACATAGCTAAATCTTGGGAACAACCCAAATACCCATCACCTCTGGAATGGTAAAAAGATGTGTTTTTATACAACAGATTATTATTTAGGTATAAAGAACTATAAACTTTTTTGTGGTAAATGGATTCAACTAGAGGCCATACGCATAAGTGAAATAAATCAGACCCACATGTGTAAATATCATATTGCCTCCGTAGTATAAGAACCTAAAAGATTAAACTAAATTACAATAGATATAGTAAAACGGAAAGAAACTGAATGTAAGGAATGAACAATTGAGATGAGGAAGAGGGGAAAAGATAAGAAAATAGGAAGGGGAAAACATGTAAGTATATACACAGGAACGCTAAGATGATTGTACTACTAATTTCTATCAACTTTTTGAACGTAGCAGTTAGTGTTTAAAATTTTTACTTTGACCAATTCAGAGTCTTTGAAGGACAAAAAAGAACTTTAGGCAAGTTTGTCTCAGACAAAATTTATAATAGTAAATTTTGATAAGTTTTTATTAAATTAGATTTTAAGTATTGTCCTCAGTAATACAAATACAAGTGATGAAGTTATGATCTAGCAACAATTATTTAAGGATAGTTGGGATGTTAGAATATATATTTTTACAAGAGTTGATTTTTAACATATGAAACCTTTACATTGTGCTAGTAGTCGTAGTGATTTGTTATTTTGTTGGGATTATTTGAGATTCATGCTCAGTAATCTGCTTACCTCTTCCTTATAATAATAAAGAAGGGCTTTCAAACCTGAGTCCTGCACTGTGGGCCAGGTTGTCACCTACAACCATATTTCCTTGAATACATTATTTCCTTCATTTTGCCTCAATTTCCCCATTACAAACTAATAATTATAAGTAAATGCTAGAGTAGCTTTGTGTAACTTCAAGACATGATGTGACTTTCTTGACATTCAAAACAGTTGAAAACTGTCTAGAAGCAAAGGAATCTGACAAGTGGAGATTAAAGTATCAGGCAGGAGGATAAGACTTTGGTGGACAGCAAGCGTATACTCAAGAGCCACCCTTCATTGCTGTGTTCAGACAGTTACTAACTTCTCTGTTCTGGTGAGCCCACAGGCTCCCATAAGTTAGCCAAAGTCTAGGAGGACCATGGAAATGGAGTACCGGTTGAGCCACAAACCTGTGTCTTCTCCCTGAGAAGGTAGTACAGATGGAAATAGACATCGGGGTATTACTACCTGATGCTGTGAAGATCAGATGAGTTAATGCATAAGCAATGTTTAGAATGTTGCTTTATTAATTTTACATACAATTTTATGAACTTATTTTTAACTTTCCAAAAGATAAAAAAAGAAGTAAAGACAAAGAGGAGCAGCATCAGTCTATTAATTTTCCTTTTTGGAGTTCAAAGAGTAGAGCAAAATGAAAGTGGGAGACTTTATATCTATGAATCATCTTGATACTATTGTTCATTCTTTTTACTTTCTTTTGTCACAAATTATTGAGTGCTTTTTGTGACAATATGTTATGATGAATATTATTATTGATATTTCTTTTCTTAAATATTTTTAACGTAAATATTCTTGGAATTCCAATGTAGTATTAACTTTGGTAAAACATCAAGTGACTTTTCCCCATCAGGCCACTAAACTTTTTAAGGGTTTCTGAAAAAATTACCCCAAACTTCAATTTATAGAACTTAATATCAATGTTGATTTTAGATAAAAATAATGAATACAATACAGTGTTTCTCCATGTAGGGATCCCAATAAAATGCAAAATACTCTTCATCAAGATTTTGTATACTAAACCATGTGTTCCTGAATGTACAAACAAGAATTGAGAAATTATTTATTTTTAAAAGATTCATTAATTAAACACACAGGCCATGCACTGAGAGGCCACTTGACCTAGTAGACGTCACTGCTTACTAAGAGACCGTAGGCATGAATGATATCCCTAAGAGTACAAGTCAAGGAGTAAGGCAGTAAGTGACATGTATCAAACATCAAAGGGTCAGTGTGGAGAGAATTTTGACTTCGTTTATGAAGGATTTAAAATTTTTATCTTGATTGGATTTGAGAAAAATAATTAAATAATGACTGCCATTTCCAACTATAAAGACTGAAGAGGAAAGTAAATAGAAAAAGAATGCATTTTAGTAGGAGAAATGGGAAGAAGTGGAAAAAAGAGGAATGCCACCAAAGCTAACTGTCCCCATGGTATGCTGCTGAAGTGTTACATGACTCAAAACGACATCTGAAAGTTTCATAATACCCTTTCTTTAAAGAATCTAATACTTAGGGTTTCCTTAAGCAATTCAGTCACAGTATTATTGATAATAGTGACCAATTGCACAAATAATACTGTATTTTAAAAATTAAAAATTAGCAAAAATTATATTCTGATTGTTGTTTTGCTGATATCATTCTAGTTACCCTTATTACAATTCAGTAGACAAAGAAATGCGCTAGCATTTACTTAAAATTAAGGTTATCTATTTAATGCTGGTTTTCTTTCTTTCAGAAAAACATGTTTCATCAAAAACTTGATGAAATCATACTTCTATTTGATTATGTAAAGTTTCAGTGTTAGTAAATTTAGGTATCCAAGTGAGCATACAGATTTCCCTGAAATTCTTGAGAAAAGAGTTCTTTTTAGTGCTTTACAGGGATTGATGATTAAAGAGCAGTGCAGACAGCCCTGAAAGGCTGGCAATCAGAGAAGGCCGGGCCACATGCTGGGCACAGACTCCTCCAGGCTGCTGATGTGCAGTAGCCACCTCTGCCTGGCAGGAGGGAGCTGTTCTGCCAGTTCTCCCAGGAGCATGAGGGAAATCGTGGTGAGGAGAGGTAAAAACTCATCCCTAGCATGGAGCCTCGGAGACAGGGCTCTCAGGGATGGTTGAAGTAGGAAGGAAAAGGAAGTGAAAAAGGGATAGAGGTGTGTTGTGTACAGGCACCAACTCCATACCAGGATAGTAAGCATTATGTACTACACACAGGTACTAATGAAATAAAACACAAAAACAACAAAAAAGAAGCACATTCCTTGGTCAAGCAATGGTCGTGACTCATCCACATGGCTGACACTAAAAAAAAAGATCTATAAAATGCTGTACAGGGTTTCAGGGTCAATCCTGAGGGGATTTGACTGACTTTGTCAGATACAGAAGTTACATTTTTTGTTATATAGGTATTGCTTTATCTTGGTTTTAACCATCCAGCAGAAAAATATAAACACGAGGCATAAAAAGTAAAGCCATATTAATATGCAGAGCTGTAAAAGGCTCAAGTTAACAACTTCTGACACTGACAGTCCTGCAGATAACCCACTACTGTTATGGACTACTGGACTATATTGGACTATTTTGATGAATTCATGCACCTACAATATTTGCAGAACCAAGGATTGAACTCAAGCCTTTGCACTTGCCAGGGAAGAGCTTATTCCACTGAGCCATCTCCCTGGCCCCCACCTACAATATTTGAATAGTAATGGAATACCCATCTCTGACAAAACTAAACAAAAAATGGGATATAAATAAAGGACAACTTTGTAGTGAAAAAAATATATCTGTATATACAAAATAGGACAGATATACAGCTACTTTCTCTTAGTTCAACGAGAAGAAAGATTTGTACTAATAGTGTTTAGGCAGGATATCATGTCTGCATCTTGTACTAGGAATAACTACTATGAAGACACCAATATGCAATGTATTAATTATTGTAACTGTCGTACTAACCTGTTTTGAAACTGTCTCATTGCTATTGATTTCTCAATACAATTAATAACAAAAAATAAAAAAAAGACACCAAATTGAGGTGCTGAGAGTCAGGATATCCTTTACTGGCAGTACCATAAAATAAGAGCAGCACAGGTTGATCTGTCTGTGAGTCGCACATGAGTTCATATTTTGCCTTTTTTTCTGTTAGTGTTAACACCTCACTTCAAGGGGTGGGTCATACCTAGTGAGAAGAACTATAGGACTATGAATTCACTTAACATATCTGAAAGACAAGGTTTATGGGAGCTCACGCCAGGACCCCTGGGTGGAGCTGCTACACAAAATGTAAGCCCTGAAAGCTATCGCTGACACACTGGCATAAGGGAAAGATCAGACCATCAATAGCAGCAAAAATAAAAAAGATATCGATATTGTTTTACCTTTTTCCTGTTAAGGAAACAAATTGTGTATGCGGTTGTATGTGTGCATATATGTGTGTGTACTGGGGAGGTAGCCGCATGGGAGGAAAGTGAGATAGGAGATGTGAAAGTTTTCAGGAATTTTTTATAACAGCACTATTAAGGCTTTAGCCATACTACCAATCCATTACAGTGAAATTTTATTAAAACTTAAGACAGTTCCTCAGCTCCAAAATTCGCTGCTCAAAGATTTGACACTGAAGAATTGCACATTTTCAGAATAGTGGGGGTTAGAAGGAGCTCAGGTAACAGACAGGAACTCACCATTTTTGGTATTTTTGACAATTGACATACTTGTCTTACATATTTTTATTCACTTAGAAAGTGGTCTTGTAAGGTCTTAAATCAACTTTAGGAGTTCCTCTTCAATGCTATTTCATAATTATATGAAAATATCTAATAAAGACCAAATTACTAATATTGTTTTTTTTTTCCTCCTGCTAAAATATTGGTTAAAATATATTTGGAAAATGGTGTTTCATTTTGCTTGTGTAACACAAGACATTTTATCTGGCACTGCTTGCTATTGTAATTGGATATATTTTCAAGTCTAAGGCTAGCAATCACTCACCCATAAATATGTTATTATAAAAAGACTATATTGGACTGTTAGTGTAATGCAAATTCTTTTTCTTGAACTGTAGGTTGTTCTCCAGTCTCAGTATTATCACAGAGCTTACTCACCCAGCAAACATGAGATTCATGCAATTCAGAGCCAAAGACTGTTACTCTCTTGCTCTTTCAAAGCTGGAAAAGGTAAGACTCATATCAAGAAAGGTTGATTTTGCCATTTTTGTTCAATAACTCTGGAAATACCTGTGTAGAGAAAGAAATCCCATTAGGTAGTAAAACTAAAGACATATTTCAATTTCTGTTTAAGGGCTAAGATGCTAATTATAATTATTTAAAACAATGGATTGATAAATTTTAAATCATTTATATGACAAGTAAATATACTGGAGATAATTTGTTCTGTCCTTTCTAAGTTGAAATGTAATATATCAAAGAATTAAGTTCAACAGAAATTATACGTACAATGTCAACTTGCTGATAATATAACCAGGGACTTGGTATATTCTAAGAGCTATACTTATATAGGGATTTCAGTTTACAAAAATATTTATTATCCTAGAAAAGAGCTTAATTATCCAAAATTGTTTATTGATATTGAAAACTGGTTTTGAAAATGTCACCAAGGAAGTCTGAGGCAAAATCATATGTATTCCTTACCAAGGCAGGGGTTTTCTGCCACCTCCAGAAATACTTGGCAATATTGCAGGAGAAGAACAGCATCTAAATCTCTTGAGGATTGGGGACAGCATTTCATAAGGGCATCTGTAGCAGAGGTTTTGCAGTGTTCAGGTAACACTGATGCTGAAGGAGACAGTGCAGCTGCAGTCATTTCTGGTGGGCTAAAGGTTTGGCTTCTGTTCTCAGTGTCTAGGCTGAGTGTGAGGCAGATGGCTTTTGTATTCAGCTTTTACGTGGCTCTAGTATGCAGGGAGAATTAAATGTGAAAAAGAAAAAGGTTTATACATGTAAACGTGTGATATCTATCTGTCTTTTTTGTCTATAACAATATAACATAAAATGATAGCAGATGAAATATAATTGATGAAATGATACACATATTAATTAACAGATGATACTCATATCAATGTAACAGATGAAATGATGCTAATATAATTTATTAGTTCTTGGTTTACTTATTTAATTTTTGATTGCCTATTATTACTATACAAAAGGCTCAGTCAGCTCACTGCATGGTGTAAGCCAATTAGTCCAGAGGCAAGAGGGTGGTAGAGAGAAAACTTTATTACAATGAGTTAGCTGAGCTGAAGATGGCAAATTATCATCCCAAAGGGCCATCTGTCCAGGAGTCTGATTTATGGTGGTTTATATGACACAGATGATTCAGACTGGGATGTGCCTTCACACAGGAGGAGTCACTGATTAGAAGTATATCATTGTGGCCAAAGGATACACTGCTAATCATGATTGTATGTTCATACCTACATGTAGATACTGACATCTCAAGCCAGGCCATCCTAGGAGGGAACCCAGCATGAAAACTTTTTGCTGATCATTAATCTTATGGTGGCGAAATATAGGTCTCCTGGTTACTGACAAAGACGATGACAAAGCACAGTTACATGGGAAGCTGATCATGAGATCTAGTCTTGGTGCTTGGCTACACTGAACTTCCACATGCTATCCTAATGTCTAGGAGGCTTATTAGGCGAGCAATGCAGTTTCTACTCTCTTTCCTATTGACTTGCATTTCCAAAGCTGGTCATATACACTGTGTTGATCCAGTTTTAACACATTCTTTTATTAGCGTAAAGAAATCATTGTTATGCCCCTGATTCCTGACCTGGAAACTGGGTTTGAGGCAGATTGAATAATGTGTTCAAGATTATGACTATCAAGACAATGCAGTATGGGAAATTTAAGGGCAATAATGTTTAGCACAGACAATTTCTATTATGCCATATAGTTTTAACAACATAGAAAGGCTAAGAAGGCAGGTTAAGTTGGCATAGCATGTCGAGGTAAGTGCAGTAATTAGGAACCTAGTGCAATAGGTGCTGGCATGATGCAGTCAGAAATTCATGACACAGGAGACAGTGACACTTAATGATGAAGAACTCAGGCTTTGAAATCAGATTGGTAAAATTCATCACTACTTTTGAAGAATGGAATTTGGACAAATTATTTGTACGCTCATAATCTTAATCTTATTCATGAAGAAGTGGTAGGAGCTTTGTAAGGACTGTACCACACAATCTGTACAATTTTAGTATATATGCTGCTGAAGTGAGCTCAAGAAACTATATCAAATAGTTTGGTATTGGACACATACTTAGTACTCAAAGAAATAATATCAAAAGCATAAATTATATTTGTTGATACTTTCACTAATAAACATGCTATGGTATGGATTGAATTTTATTCCAGGTCATTTGTTGTAGCAAGGTCATAATTGTGGAAAGTATTTTCAGTAATTTTGAATTCATCATTGTGCATTTGTCACACTAAGGGAAAAGAACAAAATAAGGCTTTGGTCTTCATTGGTAAATTAATTGAAAATGAAAACTATTGCCAACTTTGAGATCCTTTCCACAATAGGAAAACCATCTTTCTTTGAATAAGTATTAAAAAATATTGTCTCAGGTAAGATCAACTATATTGCAAAACAGGATAAATCACATACACATTAATGGCATTCATGTTGCATACATGTCATATATGCCAGTCAGTTATATACATATCTTTATAAAAAGAACTTCTGTATCTTTGCAACCAATGAGAAGTTATGATATTGAGCAAGAGGTCTCTGCCTGACACACAGAAAAACAAATGGTGGCACAAAATTTTGGTAAAACAAAACTATTTCTAATAGGGTTGACTAATAAGAAGGTCAGGAGCAGGAATCTGAGCTCTCCTCTGTAATCAGTTGGGGACATTTATAAGAAGGGGAAAATGAGAAGCTCTTTGATGATTTGATGGCAAGAAGAGGAAGTTTTAGGGTTCTTTGGACCTGAGCTGGCTTAGAGGGTTAAGTCGTTTCTTTATGAGTAATACATTCCTTGTCCAGAGAGGATTTTGTTCAGTGCGGGGGATTTTTGATCTTGTGATGTCAAATGATTGGCCTGAAAAGCTGGCTATTTTCGTGCATGTGTGTTCTTGAAAAGGCTGTTGCGAGCCATCCTTCACTGGATTCCAGCGCGTCTTCCTGAAAGACAACTTACAGGCTTTGCTACTAAGATGTTTGTCTGCATGTGTTCAGATGTCACCCCACTTGAAGTACAACTTGGAATCAGGCCTGTAGCCTAAATTCCTAAAGAGAAAGAGATGTACATTAACCAGCCAGATCAAAGGACCCCAAGAAAGACATTTCTAGAACCCAAAAGCGATTAGTTCCTTATTCAGGTTTGTGTTCATATCAGAGAGATGGAGTAAGGATAGAAGGGAGAGGTGGCAGCAGGTCACAGATATGCAGGCCTGGATACCCAACACATTGGGAGTCTGAAGCAGGAACTGTTGACATCTAGAAGCAGGCCCGTTCAAGATCCTAGAGGCTCTTATGCTCCACAGCATGTAATAGTGTACATATATCAGTGGCAAGCAAATGGAAGCGTTTGTGGGCGGGGGCCGGAAGCTGTACAAAACGCTTCTATTCATGTGTTGTTGGCTAGATGAAGCTCTTAGCTGCACCCAACATCAGGGAGTCTGGGAAGTGCAACACATACGTGCCCATTAGAACTGAGAAATAGGGGAGTAAGACACGATTCTCTGCACCTACATCAGTTATTTTCTTGCAGTTTGAACAATTTGTCAAAACAAATCCTGAACACCCTAACATAATTTGCATTTTCCTTTTTTTTTTTTTTTTTTTTTTGGCAGAACGGGGGATTGAACTCAAGCCCTTGCGCTTGCCAGGGAAGCGCTTATTCCACTGAGCCATTTCCCCGGCACCTGTGTTTTCCTTTTCATTTGCCATTTGTTTCACTGTTCTCTCCTTTTTTGCTAAATTGTCTTTTATGTTATTCTTCCTGTGGATATTCACCACTACAGCTTTATCAGGGATGCGTCCTAGGTTTGCAGGCTGTCTGAAGGATCTTGACATTCCTCCTAACAAAGCAGGCCCGGCAAGCATCGCGAGGTAGATATGGCCGTGGTGAGGGGAAATGAACAGGAGAGAAAGACGGGAATAGAAAAACAATAATAATTGTCTAATTTCCCTTAAAGGCTTATTTGGGTTTTCCTTTCCCCTCTTATTTTTACATGTCTTACAAAAAAAGGATTTTCTTTGTGCTTATGTGTATGCACAAACTGCCGTGAACTATCATTGCTCCCCAGTGGGGGTCGTAATCACGCTTCACCCTCATGATAACTACCTGCTGATGTAAAAGCAAAGTAATAAAACTGTGAAGCGAATAGTGTATTATAATAAACAAAAATCTATCTTTTGGCTTTGTCCCTAGTATCTGCTTTTGAACTTCAAAATACCTTAGAATTTCTACTCTTATGTAAGAGGATTGCCTTTCATCATTCACACCTTTCAATTATACTAGATTTTCCCTAACTATGATGTCATGAGGGTGCCAGCTGTTCTCATTGCAGCACACAGACTGGGCAGTCCCCAGGATCTCCTTAATGGTTCCGGAAAGTTCTCTGTCCAAAGATCGGTGCTGCATCTGTCGGGCAATGTTGACAATCTCATCAAAAGTGGTATTTCTGCTGTGTTTAATGTTTTTCTGCTTCTTTCTGTCTCTTGGAAGCTCATTGAGGGCTTTGATGATCAGGGCAGGGGCAGAAAGCACCACCTCAGTCTGAGCCTGTCTGTTCTGAATGGTCAGTTTCAATGCCGTTGTCGAGTGTCCAGCTAGCTAAGAAGCATAAGAAAATATATCAATAAAGTAGATCTGACATCCTGCAGCCTTTTCTTGAGGGACCTCATTCTTGGTGGGGTGGTTACTGGGGCCATGGTGGCAGGACCTGTAAGCTACCCTGGGCAACAAACTCGTGGGTGACATTGTGCTCTGTACGGGATAAATTTGGGGAAAAAAACTGAAATGAACATAAAAAAATAGGTTACCACTAACTACGTGACTCAGGAAGCTCATTAGATAAACCTTTCAGGACAGGCAGCGTCTCAGCAACAAGCATGTGTCAAATGATTAGAGATTTGAAACTTTCACAGAACCCTACTCTTCCAGAGAGGGAAGTGGGGTTGTGGATTGAGCTCACTT